TATTTCCAAATATTGATCTGATTCTTGGCTTCATCCACTGTAGTGTTCTTTCCCTGTAAGAACAGAGAAAAATATAGCCTTCTTTCCTGACTGGATCTTTTCTATGTAGCTGAGGTCCTCACTAAGTTCCTTGAGCACCCTTATAACTGTGTTTTGAATTTTGCATCTGATAGATTGCTTTCTCCATTTCATTTAGCTCTTTTTCTGGAGTTTTGATCTGTTCTTTCATTTGGGCCATGTTTCTTTGTCTCCCCATTGACATCCTCCCTGTGTTTGTTTCTATGTATTAGGTAAAGCTGCTTTGACCCTGTGTCTTGGTACTGTGGCCTAATGTAGTAGGTGTCCTATAGGTTTCAGTGGCACAGCCGCCTCTATCACCCAAGCTGGGTACTTGAGATGCACCCTTTGTGTGGACTGAGTACACCCTCCTCTTGTAGTTGGGCCTTGCTTTTGACAGGTCAGGGGGAGGGATTTACTCAGGCCAGTCAGCTGCAAGGATTGACTGTGACCACTGACCATCAACCTCTACCCTCCAGGGAAAATAAGCTGTGCAGGGGCGGGGTGGTGGTGCTCCAACGTGGTCTGTAGCTGTGCACTGGGTGCACAGGCTCTGGGATTCCTGGGTGGCACAAGGCAAGGTCAGCCCACACCTGTGTTTTGCCCGGGGCCACTCTGCCTGAGCTATAAAGCAATCTGAGATGGCTGCTACTTGTGCTGGGCTTAGAGATTCCCAGGTGAAGCTGATCCTGAATCTAGGCTGGCTGTTGTTAGTGCCAGGCTTGGGACTTGCTGAGGCCAGCTGTGGCTTGTTTGAGAGGATTTACAAAGTTGTGCAGTATGAGCTAAGACCAGCCATTCATATGGAAAAGCAGCTTGGATGGGCCAGCAAGTTGGCTGGGGTTTGATTTCTGGGGATCTCTAAGGCAGGTCAAACAGTGTTAGCCAGGTTGATGGAGTCTCAGATATTGTTCCAGCCTGCCAGCTCTGTGGAGGTAGGGTTTAGAAAAGGGACAATGGCCTCTGCTCACCTGTTGGCAGACATTTCAGTTTCTTCCTGTATGTCACTGGTGCCTTTCAAGCTGCTACTCCAGTGGTGGAGCTTAGAGAGAGTGAGTCTGAGTAGGTGAGTCTGTGTGTGGGTTCTTTAAGAGGAGCTGCTTGGGGTTTCAGCAGTGTCTTCCACTGACTCAATCCCTGCTGGGTTTTGCAGCTAGAAGTTGTGGGGACTTATCTTCCTGGCATTGGAACTCTGGGCTGAGGCTCCTGGTGTGGGGCTGGGACCTCCTCTCTCCTGAGATATCCTTCCTGAATTTTTATCTAACACACATGGATGAGGGACCATCCATTTTGCATCTGCATTCCTCTTACCAGTCTGGATGGATGTGGTTTCCTTAAATCTATAGTTGTCAGAGTTCCATTCTACTTGATTTCTGGTGGTTCTGAGTGATGGTTGTTCCATATTTTATTTGTAATTTTGATGTGGTTGTGCAAAAAGGTGAGCCATGTCTGCTTACGCTGTCATCTTGACTAGATGTCTCTCAGACTTCTAATAGTCTCAATTTAAGTGCACTAAACTAAGATGTAAACCAATTCAGTCATCTACTTAATCTCAGGAATGGTTTCTGAAAGCAGTAGTCTATGGAACACGTGCATCAGAATGAACACGTGTCCTGTTAAAATGCACATCCTGGTTCCCCACTTCAAGGCCACAGAATTAGAATCTCTTCAATTGTGGATCTGAATTTCAACAAGTTTTTTAGATGACTCTGAAGCACACTAAAGTTTGAAAAATATTGAGGAGTGGAAGAGAGAATAAAGGTACAAAGGTAAGAGAGAACAGAAACAACATAAGTGGAACCTGAGATGCATGAATGGAAGAACGTGAGCCTATAAAAGTAAGTTGAGCTAGAGTTCAAAAGGACTTCACTGTGGGAGCAGGGGGTTGACTTGTGTTCTACTGTCAACAGGGAGCTATTCCTCTCAGTGGCACACTGGATTGGTTAAGATGCTGAAACCTGAATCCAGACTGTGAGGGTTCAAATTTTGCTCCTTGATTCACTAGCTATATGATCCTGGATAAGTCTTTTTAATTTTATTTTTTATTTATAGTTTACATTCAACATTAGTTTGTATTAGTTTCAGGTGTACAGCATAGTGGTTAGATAATCATACTTTACAAAGTGTTCTGCCCAATACTTCCAGTACTTACGTGGCACCATACATAGTGAAATAGGTGAAGGGGTTGAGAATTGCAAATTGGTAGTTATAAAATGGTCATGGGAATATAAAGTACAGCATAGGAAATACAGTGAATAATATTGTAATAACTATATATGTGGCATTGGACAAGGTTATAACCCCTTTCTGGTTCAGTTTCATTATCTATAAAATGTAGATCATGGGATTAAATAAGTTCATATTGGTAAAGTGCATAAAATTGTGTTTGGCATATAGTTCAGAGTATGTGTCAGCATAAGGACTTTTAAGCAGGGGTGTATCATGGTTAAGGCTATCTTTTGGGAAAATTAAGCTGTCGGTAATGTATATTCATTCCCTACCCACAAATCTTATAATTTTTTTTACCTCTCAGTGGTTCTCAAACTTGGCTACACACTGGAATAACCTTTGTCACACCCACCCCTTGTCTGGACATAAATTTACTAAGGTAATTCCAATCTACACATGTAATTGAGAACCAATGTCCTAAATATATTTTAAATTTGTCCATTTTTTGGCAACAGAATCCTTATTATATGCATGATACCATGCTTGGTCCTCTTTCTGCATTATCTCATTTAAACCTCACAACCATTTGGAGGTAGGTGTTAACATTATACTCACTTTAAAGATTGTTAAAAAAATCCTGGGTACATTGCACATAATCACCCAGACAGAAAATAGAAGGTCTGGGATGAGAACTGAGGCAGCCTAGCTCCAGAGGCTCCATCTGAACCATTGCTTTACACTATGTCCCTAGAGCAGACACACTCCCTTCCACACTATTGAGACACCTTTCTGGTTTCTCCTCTTGCTTTATTGCCTCCTTCCAATCTAGTCTGGACACAACAGCTATTAAGATTTTGAGAGACATCAACTGGACCATGTCATGCCCCTGTGTACAATCTTCCAATGGCTTCCCAATGCACTTAAAAACTGAAATCAAAACTCCTTTCTCATGGCCTTAAATATCCCACATGGTCTGATTCCTGTTCACCTCTCAAGCCTCATCTCCTGCTAATTTTGACCACAAACATTATATTGCAGCTACACTGATCCTTAAATTACTTGAATACTCTAAACTCCTCTCTTCCTTTGAACTTGCCTTTCTTTCTGCCTCGAATTCTCTACCCCCAGGATCTTTGCATGGATGGCTCCTTTTCCTCTTTCAAGTCTGAGATTAAATGTTATCTCAGATAGCCCTTTCCAATCACTCAGCCTAAATGCTTTCATCTTTTATTTCCTATCAGTCCTTTATTTCCTTTATAGTACAGTGGCCCTTGGTATCCCTGGAGGATTGGTTCAGGATACCCCCTGTAGTTACCAAAATCTGAGAATGCTGAGATCCCTCATATAAAATGGTATAGTATTTGCATATAACCCATACTTACATATATGCTACAGTGGGGTATGCCTATATATCACTTCATTCACATAGGTTCAGCATGGTGCTCAGCACATGGTAAATTTAAGTTTTCCTTTGGGAAACTTTTTGCGTTTTCTTTTCTAAATATTTCAAACTGTAATTGGTTGAATCCACAAATGTGTAACCCACAAATACAGAGAACCAACTATACTTGTACTGTTTATATTTAGATATTTGTTTTCTTATTTGTTTGTTTGTTTTGTTGTTGTTGTTCTTTGTCCTCTCTGGTAAAATGTGAGTTACACAAGAACAAAGAATGTATCTTTGCTGCTATATATGCCAAATATGTTTGTATAGATTGTGTGCTCCACAAGGATGCCAAAGCTAGGGAGTGTATTCACAAGGATTTTCTGGCAAATGGTAGCAAAGTATCTTAAGCAAGGGGATCCCTTTTGTAATTCATATAAAGATGCTTGCTATAGAGTCTGGCATATGCTCTGTATGTCTGCTGTATTCACTAATATGTATCCAGCTTCTAACACAATGCTGAACATACAATAGATGCTCAATAAAAATGTTGGTTGAATGGAAGGAAAGAAAACAAAACTAGGATACTGCCACAGGGAAAGCAGGAAAAGGGAGGGATATAGAAGATTGCTAATAGATTTGGTAATTTGAGAAGACTCAGTAAAGGAGAAACTAATGGTTATTATATTTGATCTTAGGAACTTAGAAAAAAAGTGGTGCCATACAATATCAAATAAATAGAACCCAAAGAAGAAAAAACTGGCTTGAGAAAATGACAATTCCATTGTAGATGACAATTCCATTGAAAAAAATGATGCCTTACGTATGGATTTTATTGAGTTTGTCACCATCCTACAATGGGACTTTTAAGAATATACATAAATTTTCCTTGCACAGTGTTCAAAATGGTCATGTCAATGTTTTGCAAGGCCCATTGTATCTTTTAAGGCTGTGCAGGTAAATAGTCTGTGTTTTATAATACAATAAGATAGGGCCAAGCTAAAAGGGATTAAGGAGAAAGAGACAAAGACACTCAATTTCACAGTAGAGGGTGATTTGGAGGGCGTCCAAATCACCAAATGTAATGTCTTAACTGAACAGCTGCACTGTTCATTGATAGGGTTCATTGATAGGGTTGCCAGTTCTGGAAGAGTCCTTCAGCCATGACTCGTGTGTCTCTTGCCACAATTCTGCATAGTTTCTTTCAAATGGTGGCTCTTAAAATTAGTGATTTTATTTTCTTTCTCTTTGTGTATGAAAACATCCCTAGAAACTAAGGCTACCACAGAAAAGTCACTTTCCCTAGGATACTGAGCAGGTATTTTCCTCTCTTTTAAGTCTTGCTAGTCAGAGTGACATCACCACAGGTCTTGGGATGTGGGATACATACCTCTGCATACCTGGCAGCAGGAATCCGGAACAGACACAGGGAATGCACAGTTTAACTTGGGACAAGTCTTGAGACCACAGTACACATTCCCCTCCTGCCAAGAAGAAAGAGAATAAGATCACAAGGAGACTCATCTAGGTACCTGGGATGAGAAGAAGCTCAAAACATGGTGTGTCCATTCCCACAGTTGGTTGGTTCTAGGTACTTTCTAAATTTTATTAGGCATTATTTTCTTCTATTTACTATTTTTCCATGCCAGAGACTAAGTCACAGAAGAGTTGGCAACCCTCATTATGCATCCTGGTCTAAAGTGGCACAAAGTCATGAGTGTAAGGCCTGTTGTGGGCCACCAAATCAACAAATACAGTCATGTTCCTCTCTTCTCTGTTCATTATAACCCTTGGTCCCCATCACCCCTCAGCTGGATGTTGGGGATTGCAGAAAATAGATTTGCATGATAGCCACCTTTCGTAATTATCACTAGAATATCCCTTCCACACCCAGGAGATGAGCTCTCTGGGGTAATACAAACTATACAAATTATCTGAATTGGCAGCTCAGTCCAGCAAGAAGCAGAGAAGAGGATCAAATTTACTTGCTGTCATGTGTGTCTTTGCATAATCTCCATTTCCTAAAGTCCTATTTTACAAATATTATTCCTTAAGCATTGTTATTAGTTCTTAAAACCATATAATTCTGGTGCTAGACAGGTTTCTGAAAGGGTAAGAAGGCAAGGCCACAACCAAATTATCCCAAACTACTGAGATACTACTATATTTTTACTAAAAAAAAATCCCTATGTGAAGAGAGTCTATAACTTCCCTAGGAAATCCAGAGTTTAATGCCCCTTAGAGAAAGAAACAGTTGTTTCTACAACTAACTTCATTCTCTCACATATCAGTTTAAATACACATTTTACTCCATTTTCTGGTTCTGCCTATTTCATTTACTGGACTGCACAATTAGATGAAGATATAATCAGCATACTTTGTCCCTAAAGTATACACATTCTTTTGACAATATCATAGGATCAGTCATGTGTTCTCAGGAGAGTTCTCATTGCAGGACACCAGAGATGAACTGGTTAGTAGAATGCTTCAGTGATGAAACCAAGAGACACCTCATTTTCTTTGGAATTGCATTGGGCCTGTGTTTTTTTCACCCATAGCATTCCCAAAACTTCAAATAATTGAGTCCTTCAAATTAAGACTTTAGTGGTATAATTATTGTTAAAAGGAGTGCATACCAAGACCACTAGTTCATCTCTGTCCATTTAACCAGTCCTAAAGCTCTAAGAATGGGATATGACTGGGTCTGAGCTCTTCAACAGAGTTATTCAGGGTTAATGAAATCAGGGATTCTGGGCTGGCAGGTATGCTTATTACTTAAATGTACTTCATCTTCCATTCTAACACCCTAGAGTGTAGACTCAAAAAAGGTATAAACACAGAATATGCTCTCTCATTTGGTTAGGGGTTAACAGAGACAGTAAGATACATCTTACCGAACAGCTGCATTGGGTACATTGATTGGGTTGCTGGTTCGGAAAGAGTCCTTCAGCCATGAACAGCTCACCATGTTGGTAAATGGTCCCATTGTACTCGCATGACTTGCTGGTCACTTTATTGTTCACTGGGGGTAAGGAGTCTTCTGGGACAGGGTGGAGAAAACCATAACAAGTATTGGCATCACTGCAAAGAATTTCATAAATCCCAACTGCAGGTGGGCTATACCACATAGAGGGAGTTAAAAGAGTCCCACCCATTCAGTGGCTGATGAAAAAATACAGATATGCCTTTCTTTATTGCACCTCACTTTACTGCACCTCACTTTATTGCACTTCATAAATGTTCCATTTTTTACAAAGTAAGGCAAGACCTCAACCTACACAAATATGATGACTTGCTTCATTGTGACACTTGCTTTTTTGAGTGGTCTAGAACCAATCTTGCAATATCTCTGAGGTACGCCTATATTAAAGCAGTCAGACAAGAATAGCAACTGATATGATCATCATCCATTATTTCATTTTTTAATAATTTCTTGAGCAACTACTCTCTATGATAGGCACTAGAGAGAGATCAGATAAGGAGGACAGGAACCCTGTCTTTTTTTTTAAGATTTTGTTTTTATTTTTAGAGGGGAAGGGAGGGAGATAGACAGAGAGAGAGAGAGAAACATCAATGTGTGGTTGCTGGGGGTTATGGCCTGCAACCCAGGCATGTACCCTGCTGGGAATCGAACCTGGGACACTTTGGTTCCCAGTCCGTGCTCAATCCACTGAGCTATGCCAGCCAGGGCTAGGAACCCTGTCTTGATGGAAATAACAGACCTAAAAAAAATAAGGTATTGATCTTTTGGTAAAGATGGTGGCATAGGCAGACATGGCTCACCTTTTTGCACAACCACATCAAAATTACAAATAAAATATGGAACAACCATCACTCAGAACCACCAGAAATCAAGTAGAATGGAACTCTGACAACTATAGATTTAAGGAAACCACATCCATCCAGACTGGTAAGAGGAATGCAGATGCAAAATGGATGGTCCCTCATCCATGTGTGTTAGATAAAAATTCAGGAAGGATATCTCAGGAGAGAGGAGGTCCCAGCCCCACACCAGGAGCCTCAGCCCAGAGTTCCAATGCCAGGAAGATAAGTCCCCACAACTTCTAGCTGCAAAACCCAGCAGGGATTGAGTCAGTGGAAGACACTGCTGAAACCCCCAAGCAGCTCCTCTTAAAGAACCCACACACAGACTCACCTACTCAGACTCACTCTCTCTAAGCTCCACCACTGGAGTAGCAGCTTGAAAGGCACCAGTGACATACAGGAAGAAACTGAAATGTCTGCCAACAGGTGAGCAGAGGCCATTGTCCCTTTTCTAAACCCTACCTCCACAGAGCTGGCAGGCTGGAACAATATCTGAGACTCCATCAACCTGGCTAACACTGTTTGACCTGCCTTAGAGATCCCCAGAAATCAAACCCCAGCCAACTTGCTGGCCCATCCAAGCTGCTTTTCCATATGAATGGCTGGTCTTAGCTCATACTGCACAACTTTGTAAATCCTCTCAAACAAGCCACAGCTGGCCTCAGCAAGTCCCAAGCCTGGCACTAACAACAGCCAGCCTAGATTCAGGATCAGCTTCACCTGGGAATCTCTAAGCCCAGCACAAGTAGCAGCCATCTCAGATTGCTTTATAGCTCAGGCAGAGTGGCCCCGGGCAAAACACAGGTGTGGGCTGACCTTGCCTTGTGCCACCCAGGAATCCCAGAGCCTGTGCACCCAGTGCACAGCTACAGACCACGTTGGAGCACCACCACCCCGCCCCTGCACAGCTTATTTTCCCTGGAGGGTAGAGGTTGATGGTCAGTGGTCACAGTCAATCCTTGCAGCTGACTGGCCTGAGTAAATCCCTCCCCCTGACCTGTCAAAAGCAAGGCCCAACTACAAGAGGAGGGTGTACTCAGTCCACACAAAGGGTGCATCTCAAGTACCCAGCTTGGGTGATAGAGGCGGCTGTGCCACTGAAACCTATAGGACACCTACTACATTAGGCCACAGTACCAAGACACAGGGTCAAAGCAGCTTTACCTAATACATAGAAACAAACACAGGGAGGATGTCAATGGGGAGACAAAGAAACATGGCCCAAATGAAAGAACAGATCAAAACTCCAGAAAAAGAGCTAAATGAAATGGAGAAAGCAATCTATCAGATGCAAAATTCAAAACACAGTTATAAGGGTGCTCAAGGAACTTAGTGAGGACCTCAGCTACATAGAAAAGATCCAGTCAGGAAAGAAGGCTATATTTTTCTCTGTTCTTACAGGGAAAGAACACTACAGTGGATGAAGCCAAGAATCAGATCAGAGAATTGGAACATCAGGAAGCAAAAATAACCAATCAGAACAGTATGAAGAAGAAAGAATCCAAAAATAATGAGGATAGTGTAAGGAGCCTCTGAGACAACTTCAGGCAATCCAACATTCACATCATAGGGGTTCCAGAATGAGAAGAGAAAGAGCAAGAAATTGGAAATCTATTTCAAAAAATAATGAAAGAAAACTGCCTTAACTTGCTGAAGGAAATAGACATGCAAGTCCAGGAAGTACAGAGAGTCCCAAACAAGATGGTTGCAAATAGGTCCATTCCAAGGCACATCATAATTAAAATGCCAAAGCTTAAAGATAAAGCAGCAAGTGAAAAGAAGTTACCTACAGGGAATTTCCCATAAGACAGTCAGCTGATTGCTTAAAAGAAACTTTGCATGCTAGAAGCCATTGGCAAGAAATATTCAAAGTCACAAAAAGCAGAGACCTATGGCAAAGATTGTTCTACCCAGTAAGCTATCATTTAGAATTGAAGAGCAAATAAAGACCTTCCAACACAAGAAAAAGCTAAGGGAGTTCATCATCACCAAACCATTATTATATGAAATGTTAAAGGGATGTATTTAAGAAAATGAAGAATATAAAAACTTTGAACAATAAAATGGAAATAAATACAAATCTGTCAACAATTGAATCTAAAAAATGAACAAAGCAAACAAGAAGAACAGAGACAGAATCATGGATATGGAGAATGTTTTGATGGTTCCAGATGGGAGGGGAGTGTGGGTGAATGGTTGAAGAGGTGAGGGGATTAAGAAGTTCAGCCCTAGCTGGTACAGTTCAGTGGACTGAGTGCAGGCCTGTGAACCAAAGTGTGGCTGGTTTGATTCCTGGTCAGGGCACATGCCTGGATTGTGGGCCAGGTCCTCAGTGTGGGGTATGCAACAGGCAACCATCCATTGATGTTTCTCTCCCTTTCTTTCTCCTTCCCTTTCCCTGTCTCTAAAAATAAATAAATAAAATCTTTATAAAAAGAAAATGAACTAAAGCCCTAGCTGGTGTGGCTCAGTGGATTGAGTGCCCGCCTATGAACCAAAGGGTCACTGGTTCAATTCCCAGTCTAGGGCACATGCCTGGGTTGTGGACCAGTTTCCAGTAGAGGACATGCAAGAGACAATTACACATTGATGTTTCTCTCCCTCTCTTTTTCCCTACCTTCCCCTCTGTAAAAAATAAAATAAAATATTTTTAAGAAATTACAAAAAAATTTTAAAAAAGAAGTGCAAATAGGTAATCACAGAATAGCCATTGGGATGTAAAGTATAGTGTAGGAAATGGAGTAGCCAAAGAATTTATATGCATGACCCATGGACATAATGATGGTGGAGGGATTGCCTGAGGGAGTGGGGAGTGCTGGGTAGAGAGGGGCAAAGGGGGAGAAATCAGGACAACTGTAACATCATAATCAATAAAACATAATTTAAAAATAAAAATAAGGTATTAACTTGCCTAGAAAGAGGGAGTCCTTTGAGAGGAAGAACTATCTAATTACCCTGGTAATTTTACCCTCTCCCATGTTTTATATCAATTGGTATCTGCTTGGGTGCTTGTTCTAGCCTCTGGAGTCTTTGGCTATTTTTAATCCCTCCACTAAGATTACACCCTGCCTCCCACTCTTTCCACCTATTGAAGTCCTATCTAATTCTGAAGGGTCAGCAAATGTTACTTTTCCTCCATGAAGTATTCCCTAATAGCTCCAGCCCACAATCAGGATCTTTCAAGGCATCTGATGTTTGAAGCACACAGTTTGGCACTTGAATATTACTGTAACTCATACTTGTCAATTACAGTCACCTAGCCAACAACTTACACAAAGATTTCACATACAGTGGAGCCTCATAACAACCTTGTCAATAAAGTAAGGCAGATTCTTATCCTCATTTTTAAATTTGAGGGTAACAAGTTTCTGAGGTTGAGAGCCTTATCTGAAGTCATCAAAGTATTGAGTGATAAAAAAGGAATTGAAATCTGGTCTCCTGAACCTACCTACCTTTCTATGTATGTATGTATGTATGTATCTCTCTCTCTCTCTATCTATCTATCTATCTATCATATCTTTCTATCAACATATGTGTACATGTGTATGTATTACTTTTTGAGAACTGGGACTCTGCCTTATATGTCTCTTTTCTCCATGGAGTCTAGTGCAGGACTGTCATGTAGCAAAAAATCAATGCACTTGGTGAGTTGACTCTAAGTAAATGACCTCAAGAAGTCTTTTTGCTGGGCTTTCTTAAAGTGCATGATGCATACACATGCAAATACACACATACACATACATCCCCCCCAAACAACAGTGAACAAGCATGCAGATTAAACTAATCATTGATGTGCAGATTAATAATAGATACAAGCAGAGCTCAGAAAATGCCTGCTTTGGGATATGAAAGAAAAGAAACCAGGGGAATTGTGTTTCTGTAACAGGAGGTTTTGAGAGTTAAACCATCCTTTCTTTTCCATTAGTCAAAATTATAGTGAAAATGAGTTCATTTTATGGGCAAATTATACCTCAATATAACTGTTAAAAATATAGAATGGAATTATGCTCAGGACATAGGTAAAAATGTTAATGGCTAATAATAACAATAAAATATTAATTTAATAGGTAACACTTATTGAGCCTTAATTAATATGCAAGGCACAATGGTGAGTGGATTTCCAAATGTTATTTTATTGCCTCTACTAACAATGTTTTATATAGACATTATGATTATGATTATCCCATTTTGCTGATGAGAAATCTAAGGCTTATG